CCAAGTGCAAGGAGACATGCATTGACACCATCTTGGAAGCGCCCCATGCGTCCGCTTCTCGGCGCAAAGTGAGGCTTCGATTGGACGATGCGCTGATGGAGCAGATTCGAGCCGCTTCCTGATTCCCTATTCACATCTTCAGGACGTTTCGTACATGTATCTTGTGTCAGCTCGTCTTCTGCAAGGCGAGGTTGGGCAAGTCTCAGATGTCCGTCGTGAGCCAAGCCGCTTTGTGTGAGCAGTGCAGAAGTTCCTTTTGGATAGACTCCGGAAAAGCTACCCAAGGTCAAGGACTATATCCGAGCCATGAAAACCATCTTTGACAAGAGCAGTGAGAAGTGTCTGGCGACTTAACTGCAGACCGACAAGCTAAGCCGCTACCGAGAAAGGGTCAACTTTGCCTTCTTCAAGCTGACAGCCTGAACTTGTTATTTGCGCCTGAGGCCATGAACGCCACAGCCCAAGTCTCTGTGTGAAGTGCAGAGCGGTTGCTCATCGACAAGTTCGCCAGGTCTTTGCGTTGGACGAGCTTCGCGCAGAGGCAACGGCCGGTTTCAGCTGTGTTGTCAGTCTTATGACTGGTCTTGTGTGGAGGGTTGAAGATCATCTGTGCAGGCCTATGGCGACTGGGGTGCGCTACCTGGCATGGGCTTCCGGGCTGTGCCGTGTGGGGTTTCATGCCGGGCGCCGAGAGTGCCTTCCAGGCAGAGACGCCGGAGCTGCAGTCCAAGCAGCCTTCAAGGCCTGAAGATTTTTTCGCGTTTGGTGCTTTGTACTGGTGTTATCCAGGCTGCAGCCCCGGTTCTGCTCTGTGACCTTCCGCAGGAATGGACGTGTCTCGGTGGTGTTGCTTTGTTCTATTTCGTGGGCTGAGCTACTGCTAAGCATTGCGATTGAATCTCGCGTGTGTGTGTGTGTGTGTGTTTGTGGGAAGACTGCAACGACTCGAGGCGCTGGCTTGCCTTCTCAAAACGATGCACAGGAATTGGGAACGGTACCTCTAGACAGCTCCCTTGCGGAGCGACACGAGCTTTTCGTGAACAATCACCACAAAAGCAGACTTTGAGAGGTCTGTCGCCGGCCTCAGGAGACACCCCCCGACCATTTCCCAAAAGGTGATATCTGCCTCGATACTGCTTGCAAGCACAGTGCACTGTCACTCCCTCATTTCGCGGAAGGCCGATGTTGCATTCCACAAAACGGGTGTCAGCGTGTGCAGAATATCTCCACGCGTGCCGCAAGAACCATGTGCCGTGTTATTGCGCGATATCCCGTGTTGCAGAGGTTCAGCAAAATCATACCTGTCTACAACGATGCCTGGGCCAGGGCCTCAAGAGGGGGTCCGCAAGTTGGCAGAAATCGGACGGTAAGCCAGAGCTAGTGAGCAGGCTTTGTGACCTTGTTACATTGCTGTTGCCGCAAGAAGCGATACACTACACAAGAAAGCGTTAGCCTCACCGAGCCTTGAGTGACATCGTGAGTTTGGTGCACGCTTAGGGTGAGGTGCAAAAGTATGCAGTCTTCTTTGTGGCTTCACGGTCATGTCGTTGCCTGGCAAGGTCTGTGCTAAGGAGAAGCGGTTGGCTTTTCTCAGTGATCTTTCTGAAGCCATGCGATTCCAGGAGGCACAGGTTCTGATTTGCAATCAGAGAAAGTGGCGTCGCCGTTCTCGAGAGAAAGCAGCATAGAAAGCAGCAGCTGCGAGGCAGAGGAGGCCATCATCCGAGAAGCGGTGCTCGCTGGTCACGGAGGAAAGATTGGAATAACTCATTCTTTAACATTGAGAGTGGAGAAGAATTCTAGTGAGTGAGGGAGGTAGGGAGGGAGGGAGGTGTCATCTGTTCTTTGGGATCTTGTGTGGGATTGCTGCATGCAGGCGACCTGTCCTCCTTGGATTATGGTCTTGGTCTTTGCCGTCAACTACTTACTGCCATCGAGGTTTGTTTCATGCACTCGAGGGGCGGTCCGGCTTTGCATTAGTGTCAACACATATTCGGTGGACACAGCACCTGAAGGGGCCTTAGACCCTGCGAACAATATTGATTTCCGAACCTAAACCTCTGAAGGGTCTGCGGCCCTACCACCATCTGTAGTCGCGATAGAGGGGCATCATTGTGCGGCATCATTGAGTTCTTTGGCGGTGGATCGCCCCACCGAGGCCCTGCGACGGGGTTGGCGGAGGCCGACACACGACGTGATCTCCTCGGCGAACTCAGTAGCACAGTCTGTTGCAGTGTGTTGGTTTCGAGAAGCCATATGCTGTTGCGGGGTTTGAGCTCAAGGTCTCTTCTTGGAGGAGCGCGACTCTGCAATGGCACGAGCCGTTTGCGAGGTGACTTCGACAAACTCTAAAGAATGCAAGTCGCCACGTAATGACAAGTGTTTTTCGATGCCGGCAAACCCAGGCCTTGGATGGCAGAGCGCAGCGTGTCCTCGGCGAGAAGAGGGAAGAGATCCTGAAGGGGGGCTCGCACGCAGTGCTTCAGGCAATTGCTGTCCTGCGCTATCCGCAAGAGTTGGAATTTCGGCTTTGTCTGGGGGTCCCAAGTCGTGAGACCCCGAAAAGGCCCGTCCAAGGCAAGCCTTCTTGAGAATTCTTGAGTGGCACAGTGGCCCAATTCTGTGATCGGACGTCGGTGGATGCAATTCGGAGTCGAATGCACAACTGCAGCGTTGCATCGGTACATGTATGGGCGGTGCTCCATGAGGAGGGTAGGCAGCAGTCGCTGTTGGCCGCGCTGCAGGTGGGCTGCTGCCACGTCGAAGGGATCGTTGCTGAGATGGAGAAGCAGGGCTATGAGGCGCCGTCTCAGCTTTCCATCAAGGGAGGCACGACTTGATGTGATGCTTCGATCAGGTCGCTGATGCACCTTCCGAGGGCTGGCCAAGTGCTAAGGCCAAGAAGCCCAAGGTGAGTGCAGGGAGACCAGACCGAGCTGATGCGTTGATGTGACGGTGGTTCATCATGGTGCCTACTGTAACCAACGGCTGTCAGGTGGGGGCTTCAAAGAAGAAAGTTGTGACGAGAAGGCCGGGATCTTCGTTTGTTCGACCCTTCTCTCAGAAAGGCCTGACTGTGCAAATAGCACTGGACAAGGCAGCGGAGAGCTCGAGGATTCTCGTAGCAGAGTTCGAGCAGAGATGCGCGGTCTCCAAGTTGAAGACCCTCCTTGCACCGTGCCATGGTGAACCCTGGCGAACCCGCGGTGAACCCGCGGTGAACCCGGGTCTCAAGCCTTCGGAGATGTGCCCTGGGCTCTCTCAGCGAGGCTCCGGCTCTCAAGGCCGGCAGAGGCGAAAAGTCTCTGCAAAAGACGCCCCCCCTAAACCTTAAGCTTCCTGCTGTTCACAACTCTGCATCTTGTTTGGATCTTGTCAAAGAGCCCGTCCACCTTCATGGGCTGAGTGCCGTTCTCCAAAGGCGCATTCGTCCGTAAGCCTTGATCTCACAGGTAGGGGCCATGGTCTTTTCGGCGGACGGGCCCG